CACCCATAAATACACAGTAGATTAGTCGAACAAACGTTGTTCATAATTTATAAAATTTCTTGAACTGTCTTTCTTCTCTTGTTGTCCTTCATAATGTTAATATCGTTGGTTGACAATACTCCCATTGTTGCAAAATTTCTTGCAGGCCTATAAGACTGACAAGTTAATATGATTGACTTTCAGAAAGTAGTTACAGGCAATTAAGAAATTATTAAATATGGAAATAAATTAATGATATCTCTTGTTATTTTACTCAAGATCTTGAGGAAAGATAATCACAACCAGTACTTTTTCTATGATCTGGACATGTGAAAATCTTTGAACAGATCTTGTAAAGATCTTAGATAGAGATTTATCTGATAAGATTAAGATATACACAAACGAGTCATCTTTTAAAGATCTTAATAAGGTCTTGCTTACCGATCCCAAAATTTCAAGATTGTGCTTACAAGATATTTCACTACGGTAGATTTCAAAAGATAGTATGTGAACTGAAACCAAAGTTTATGGAACTTTTATTCACAATTACAAATTACATTCACTTTCTTATCGATTTTAGTTTTTGTCCGAAAATTTGTTCGACGAGGAAATTTTCTGTCTAATGACTCTTGTTTAATTACCCCAGTGGATTTGGACGGTGAGGATGTTTTTAAAGCGTCTTCATTTTTATCACTGATTCGATCAATGTTGCTGTAAGTACCTGTCGATGTTGGATCATCTTGTGAAACGGGTTTTTCTCTAGCTTGAACCAGTTGTTCGTAAAACGAAAGCGCCATTGAATGTTTACCAATGATTTCATATAGTTGACTGATGTTGGCATAACAAGAAATCAAATCAAGATGATTTGGAGACAAAATTTTTTGACGAATTTCAAGTGCTTTCTCATAAAATGAAAGTGCTTTCGAATATTCTTGGATCTTTTGATAAGCTAAACCAATATTATTATATGAGTTCGCTAGGTTTGGATGATTTGATGGAAGAGTTTTTTGATAGATTTCAAGTGCTTTTTCATGAGAAGAAAGTGCCTTCAAATATTCTCCTAAATTGTCATACACTAATCCGATATTATTATAAGAAGTAGCCAAATCAGGATGATTAGGAGGAAGAACTTTTTGTTCGATTTCAAGTGTTGTTTTATAATATGTAAGAGCAGTCTTGTAATCACCCATATTATCATATACTGAACCAATATTGTTATATGAGATTGCTAATATAGGATGTTCTGATGGAAGTGTTTTTTGACAGATTTCAAGTGCTTTTTTATGTGAAGAAAGTGCTTTCTGATATTGTCCTGTGCAGTCATATACCATTCCAATATTGCTGTAAGAAATAGCCAACGAAGGATGATTTGATGTAAGCGATTTCTCTTCAATATCCAATGTTTTCTTATAGAATAAAAGTGCTTTTGAATATTCACCCATGTTTTTATATACCGAACCGATATTATTGTAACACATAGCGAAATCAGGATGGTTTTGAGGAAGATTTTCTTGATAAATTTCGAGTGTTTTTTCATAAAATGATAGCGCTTTTGAATATTCACCCATACTATCATAAAGCAAACCAATATTATTGTATGAAATGGCCAATGACGGATGATTTGAAGGTAATGTCTTTTGTTCAATTTCAAGTGCTTTTTCATGAAAAGAAAGTGCTTTTGAATATTCACCCATATTACTATACACCAAGCCAATATTTTTGTAGGAAGTAGCGAAAGACGGATGATTTAGAGGAAGAGTTTTTTGTTCAATTTCAAGTGCTTTCTCATGTGATTTGAGAGCTTGGTTATAATCGCCCATATTTTTAAGCACTAAACCAATATTGTTATACGATATAGCTAAAGAAGGGTGATCGTCAGGTAAATTATGTTTGTAGATTTCAAACGAATTTTTATAATATGAATGTGCTTGTTGATAGTCGCCCATGTTATTATATACTTGACCAATATTATTATATGTGGTAGCTAAATCGAGATCATCTGATGATCGACTTTTTTGATAAATATTAAGTGCTTGTTTATAAGATGAAAGTGCTTCTGCATAGTCACCTTGATTACGCTTGATTAATCCAAGTTGATGATAAAGTAATGCTTTTTCATTTTCATCAGTATTGAAACCAAATAATGCTTTATAAACTTGTTCAGCCTTATCAAACTTGCCTAATTTAATCAATAACATACCCAATCGATGCCATCCTGTTGATCCTCGAGTTTCATCTCGAAGTAATTCAGTAAGAGCACTAAGTTGTTTATTTCGACTATTAGTTAATGTGAGTATAACTTGATAAAGACGATTATTTTTTTGAATTTGTTTAATTTCACCAATACGAAAAACGGTATGCATTGAAAAGAGAACTTCTTCTTCACTTTTAAAATAGCTATCATTATCTATAAATGCATAAGGAGTTGCTAATTCAGATGGATCAATAACCATTTTGAAGAGAACACCCACTAATTCAAGATTGTTTAAAGCATCTTGTGAGAATTCTAAAGATACTTCTCGATTTTTACTAGTCGATAAAAAACTATTGAATGACATAAGTCCTCCTTTTGCTTTTAACAATTTTTCAAATTCTTCCTTAGATAAACCTTGTCCACGATAAACAATAAATGATTGTTTATCTTGATTATTCGTTTGTTTTATATGAAGTTTATTGATTTCTTCATGTAAATCTTGAATGAAAAATCCCATTTTAATAATTGTATCAACTTCATGAGTACGTAAAGATTGATTAACCATCGAATGAATAAAACCTGGATGAGTATACCAATAAATCGGCGAATGTTTACGATAATCTTCGGCAAATCGTTTAATAACATCTAATTCATTTGGATCACTACCATATTTATCTTGACAATATGAGATAAAATCTTTAAGAGATTGATCATTATATTTAATTTCAAGTAAAATTTCTTTAAGTATTTGTGTATACATGAATGATTGATCAAGTTGATCTAAATTTTGATCAGATACATTAGTTGGTGTAACAAAACTTAAAGAAATAAAATTTTGTTCATATTTTTGAATAGTTTGTTTTAATAAATCACAAATAGGTACAATTTGTGTAAAAACACCTTTAACTTTTGTCCAATTTTGTGCCCATTGTTCATGTTTTAATTTAAGACCACAAAATACATAAATTGAATCAAGTTTTGATATATTATGAATACGATGTATAACCTGTTGACCGAGAACACCGGATACAATCATAAATGCTTTTTCATTTTTAATTTTACGTAGAAAATCAACACATTGATCAACATCACTGAATATTTTCATGTTACTAATAATGGATCGTACTTGACTGACAATTTCACGATGTTCATCATTAAGTTTACCATTAATATTTGGATCTAACCAAACAAGAACAAAATTTTGAATAACACGAGAATGTGATCGAAATCGTGAAAATTTAGATGTTTTCTTATTTTCTTTGCCATCATTTGTATTGATAATAATTTTAAGTACTTTCTTGTTCATAATATTTTGTAGGGAAGTAAAATATTTGTAATGATGAATATTGGTAGACGAGTTGGTTTTTCTTTCTTTTACTACGAATAAAAGTTTTTTACTTTCTAGATTTTTGTAACAGTCACGATATAAATGTTGTTTGTTTTGATACACTTACTTCACCTAAATATTTTTTTAAAAAGCAACCCTGTGCATCAAAGGAGAATCAACATATACATGCATTGGCAAACAAAGAACGAACGAAAGAACGAGCAAAAAAAGAGGGAGTAAAGTGTAGATACGATGTTGGCAAATTCATACTTTGTTTCTACCTGCATTGAATGACGAAGAAGCATGAAATTGAAAGTGAATTATTTGTAGAAACTTGTATGTTTCAAATAAAAATGCATCATTTACTTCCTGTTTACTATAGAATATTTTCAAAAGGTTTTTTGGTTTTTCTTTTCTAACTTAAACTATGTCATATATTAAATTTAGAAAAAAAAATTATCATGGCAACTACTTTTTTGATCACATATGTCAGGTCGACCTCATGGGATGGATATACATATAATGTCTAGTCTAGTTATTTCAAATCATTAAAAAGCTAATGAAAAGAACAAGCTATCAATTTTACAGTAATTCTTCTTGTGTTTTTTTGTGTATTACGTTGTTTACAGTAAAATATCGACGTAAAAATGCCCATAAGGAACTGTCTCCTTCTTTCTACCACTCGAAAATTTCCAACTTCTCAATTTTGAGTTTTTTTTCGATGATGATGTAAGATGAAGTGTCATCTAAGCGGTGAACACATTTTGGAGACTAAAACTCATTTTTTAACGACCAAAAAACGCAAGCAGTATTAGAAACTAAGCAAAATAATATGAAAGTTTCCCGTTTTTTTCCTCCTGCTCTCTCGAAATCAATTTTCATTCTCAGGCTCTCTCACATCACAACTGCTACAACTCAAACATTGTCTTCAATAACTTGACTCAAATTAGAATATGCGTCTTTATCATCGTCAAACAAATATCATAGTGTTAAAACTTGGCAGGTGTTACAATATTGGATTATGAAGAAAATCACAATTTTTTTCATATGGTTACGAGTATTTCGGTTCTCTCGAGTCAAAACTAAGACGTTTTTTCACAAATACAAAATATACAAGCTGTGATTCGAACCAATTTGCTCAACAAAAAGTTTCAGATTAGTCAGTCAAGAAAAGCTGTAGTACAAATTTTTGCGCGTATGCCTCTCAAATCTATAATCAGAAAGCATCTGGCCAATTTAAGTCTAGTAAAAACTCCACTCTCCTATCCAAGGTCTGTTTACACCGAAAGTTCCAAAATTTTTCATTGAGTTGTTCTTGAGATATTATGGAACGGATAGGTGTTAGGTTCTTTTTTCCCTTTATCTTTATTTTGTGAAAAGAAACAAGAAAAAAACCTAATCCTTGTACGAAAAGAAAAACTAATAATAACAAAGAAAAAAAATAACAGTAATCTTGTAGAATGTATATCAAAAAACAACAACTGAACTTAGAAAACAATAAAAAAAAGAGAGAGATAGAAAAGAAGACGAATAAGGGATCATCCATCTATATCTCTATAGATGGCAGATCCTGACAATAGAGACTTAGATAAAACTTATTCAACTGATATTATAATTTATTGAAAAAAAAACAAATAATAAAACAAGCAAAACCAATCGAGTTGAACTTCTTTCCATCTTGATCAAATGACGTTCAAGTGCAGCTCTCTAGTATATTTCATTGAATTCAAAACGGACAAGAAATAGATTGAATTGATTTTAATTCTGTAAACTTTCATAAGAATTATTATAATTCTATTATTAATTTCATATAAAAAACCATATATATATATATACATTATCAGTTGTTTCTTAGTATATTTAATAAAAAAAAAAAAAGGAAATACTAAATAATATTTGTGATGAACACATCAGTCAACGAATTGATATGCGTATCTCATCTATTCGAACAACATTCTGTATTGAAACTTAGAAAAAACAAACTTCAATCACTAACACATGTTAAAATTTAAAACTGTTTAAAACATGTGTTTTTGTTAGCAACTAACGTTTTACAAATAGAGAACAAATCATATGATATGGACCAAAGATAAGAAAATTGTTGATAAAGGGTTATGAAATATTATAATGGAGAGAAAAAACAAAGAGAGAAATCTTTTATCAGTTTTATCAATATCATCTATTTCTATAGTTGTTTTGCACAAGCATAAGACATTTTTTCTTTTTATCATCTACAGAACACATACGAACACTGATGCATACAATATCTTTTATTACTTTTATTATTTTATTACAATCAATTGTTCAACCATCGTCGATAATATTAACTTCTAATGTAGCTAAATGTTTAAGTGACTTAGCAACACAAGAACTTTCTGATTCATATAATTATCTTCAATTATCATCAAAATTTGGTGCAACAAATGCGTATCCTGGTTTTTCAAGTCTATTTATTAAATTAAGCGATGATGATTCATCAAAAGCTCATGATCTTATTAAATTTTTAACATTACGTAGAGCTAAACTTGATCGATTAATAAATACAAATGGTGTAAGAATTCGTACTGAAATAACAAATGCAATGGATATTTATAATGGTTTATTAGAAGCACGTAATCAAAATAAAGAAGCATGGAATATAGTTGTACGATGTCATCAAGAAGCTGCCAATATTAGTGATGCTAATGTTCAGGATTATCTTGAATCACATATTTTAGAACATCATATTGAAATTGATAAACATTTAGCAGATTTTGAAAATCGTCTCAATCAAGCTCCAATATCAGAAAAAAAATTAGCAACATTTATGCTTGATGAAGAACTTTTAGATACATATGGTGATCGTCGTAAAGATATTTTTTAAATATAAAACAAAAAAAAAAGAACTAATTCGGAAGATTTAATATACGTGTATGTGATTTTTTGTTTTTTCTTGAATGTCATGGCAAAGAAAGAGAAAAAAACAAAAACAAAAAAAAAAAAAAAAAAAGAGAAAACCAACAGCAACAAAAAAAAAGAAATGTACAAACCAAAAAACAAATAAATGCCAAAAACAAAACAAACGTTGCATGTTCTTTTTTATCAATGTTTTAGATCAGGTTAATTCATGAGCTTGTTGTGCAACATGTACAAAAAAATCATATTTATTAGCTTTTTGTTCTCCACACTGTGCACAACGAAATGGATTATCAGGAGAATAATGTAATTGTTTATGTGTACAATACATTGCAAAATCTTTGAATATAATTTCACAATGAAAACATTCAAATAAACGTTTTATTTGACATTCATCAACTTGTGTTTGTTGATCATGACGATTAATTAATTCATTTGAATGTTCATCATTACTAGTATCAGTTGAATATTTAAATGGTGCTTGTCCTTTTCGTTGTCGTTTTATATTTGTATCAAGTTTTGATGATGGAAGATGATTTTCATTCGATTCATTCTTAATACATGATGACAATAATGAATAGCCACCATTAAGTAAAGATGGTGGTGGTGGTGGTGGTGGTGGTGCATGGTTATTATTATTATCGAGATGATATGAATGGACACTAGTTGGCATTGATGATAATGAACTAGCAGATGATAAATGAGATTGGATTTGCTGAGTAAGAAATTGTTGATATGGAGCGATAAAGTCATTTAACTAGAATAGAAAAATCGATCGACTCAGATGAATTTTGAAGAAGATATTTTTCGGAAACAATATACATATATATATATCTGACTTTCTAAGTATAAAGTATTCTTGTAATACACATGAATAGCAACACAGTCAGGAATTTTTAAGTAGTAGGTAATTTAGCGATTGCCCAATGGTCGACTACGTTATGACTCATGAGACACATGATTTTCTACATATCACTAAATCTGATAGTCGTCATAGATTAGATCACAAGATCTTTTCCTATGATAGTTTAATATGATTATATTGTCTCGAGATTATATGAGAAGAATATTAGAGATCCTCTGTGATTTGCAATCAGATTATTAATAATTATCCGTTATGACTAATATGCTAGTTTCTCTTTTGCTTTCCAATAGCAATATACAAGTACTCTAAGTATTTCTACTTGTGAAAAAGCAAAATCTTGTCTACTTTTAGAATTGAATTCTCATCAGGGAACAATATGAAAAATTTCGAAAGCATAAATCATCTCCTTACACCTTCTGTCCAAAGTTTACTTATAAATAGATCTGTCTATGAGCAAAATTTCAGGTTGAAATATCGTCATTCGATTTATTTGTAAGTTATATATCATGTCCAAAATTGAAATTTCAGTGAAATATCTATAACTCTGAACAGAAGACCTAAGGGAATTTATCCTTTTGAGATTTCTCATATCTCACTGGACTCTATCTTATGCATAAAGTTCGAATTCAAAAGAGATTATTCAGTTGAAAATATTCTCTCGTCAGCTGAAACAAGACGCCAATGTTATCTTTTCTATAAACATCGTAGAGGCTATCCATATAATATTATAAAAACTCTCAAAAAATTTTTCATATAACTTTAATTCAAAATCTTTCATCTTAGATTTTGATATTGAAAACCAAAAAATTCATTTAATCAATAAAATAATTACCTGTCCATTACTGAATGGTCCCATTTTTCCATTAAATAATTCCATTAATTTTGTTGTTGAATCTACAGTTGCACTAGCTAAAAGTGATCGATTAAGTAGATCACTTTTTTTACAAGCATGTTGAAATAAATGTACACCAAGTCCTTCTTTTGATGCAGCAACATAATCACATAAACTACAAACAAGTGGTAAGGATGAAGTTGTAGATGATGTTGTTGTTGCTGTTGTTGTTTGTTGATTCATTGAATCTATTTGACGTTCATCATTAGATATAGGTGACATAGCTGCAGCTGATGAACTCATGGATGATGTTGATGAAGTACGTTTAACAATAACAGGTGTAGTTGGTGTTGGAGCTGTTTTACGTTTTTTTGATGCTGACGAACGAGTATTAGTTTTTGGTGTTGATCCTGTTATTGTTGTTGTTGATGATGATGATGATGGTGGCACTGATGGTGGTGGTGGTGAGTTACTTGTAGGATTATTATTTGTTGTATTATTTATATTTCCATTTGAATATTCTTTAAGAAATTCTTCAATATTTTCATCAACATAAGGTTCATGTCCTTCAATTTGTAAATGTTCTTGTAATGCTTGATACTGTTTTGATTCAAATGAACAATTTGAACATTTAAATAAAAGATGGCGATAATGTGATTTTTTATGTGAACGTAACATTGATAAATTAACACATGCATAATCACATCTATAATAATAAAAAACAATTTTTTTTAAATTTTATTTAAAAATAAAATAATTTTATCTTTACTTTGAACATTTAAATGGTTTAGAACCAAGATGATTACGTAAATGATATTCAAGATGATGTTTATATTCAGTAACAAATGGACAACTTGGACATTCAAGTATTTTATCAGCTCGTATATGTACTCGATGATGTGCCCAATAATCTTCCTATTTAAGATAAAAGAAGAAAAAAAAGATTCAAGATTTTTTTTTTTTCTAAATAGATATAATTATATACTTTAACACTTGATACAAATGAACATTGTCTACATCGATGAACTTTTGCTTTACTTGGTGGAGTTGATTTTTCACTGTTACTATTGGTAGTAGTAGTAGTAGTATTACCATTTAATGATTCAGATGATTTTATTGAAGTTGATATAGGTATAGTTGGTACAGGTAGTTGTTCAGATATTGATTTTATATTAGTATTTGGTGAATGTGTTCGATTATGTTCGTCAAGACCTGATGACGAATCACAATAGAATCTATTTAAAACAAAAAAGAAAGAAATATTAAAGTTCTTTTTTTTTTTAGTCTATAACAATATTGAAAACCATAGACAAAAGACTCGAAAACAGACAACAGAGAAAAAGTTTTTTTTCTTACCACACTTAAATTAATCCTATAGGTAAAAAATCTCTTTTGATTTCTGTGTATTTTTTTCTTCTGTAGAAAAAAAGAAAAGATGATTTGAAATTTTATTTACCCGCATGAATAACATTTATATGGATAATGAATAGATACATGTTCAAGTAAATTATCTTGATTAGCACTTGTACCACATCGAACACATTGTACAATTCCATTTGTTTCAACACGATATAATTTAAGAATTTCTTCGATTGTTGATAAATATTTTGGCCATTCAATATCTCGTTCATCATCATCTTCTTCAAGATTACTATTTGTTGTTTCATTATTCACAGGTGAATATTTCATTTCCTGATTATAGGACAATGACGAATGTTTACAAAAAAAAAAAAAAAAAAAAAAAAAGGAAATTTCCTACCATTTGATTATTGTCATCATCATTATCACTAATGGGTTCAATCAAAGGATTGATACCATTGTTCTAGAAAATAAATTCAATTGAAATTTTCTTGTTTTTTATTTTGCAAATATAATATACCGAATTTGGTCTTTCACCACGTGCAGACAATGACCAAGGACGAAGTGGTTTACGGCGCTAGTTAAAAACAAAAAGAAAGAAATCGATTATCATCATCTTTATTTTTTTTTTTTACTCGACTGGCACTTTTCACAGGTTCATTCTCATTGATTGATAAAGTTGTACTTGATGGTTTGATTAACTAAAAAAAAAAGAATATTTGAATTTAATAAAAAAAAATGAATTTTTTCTTTGAGAAAAAAACGACTTACAGAAACGGGAGTAATGATAGTATCATTGGAAATATTAACTTCTGTAGTTGTATTTTTAGATGCATTATCAAACATAGCTAATTTCTTTTTTAATAAAAGTGATGAATATTGAGTATCATTAGATTTTGAAACATCAGATATTGTTGTTGTAGACATTGGTAATATTTGACAATTTTCAATTAATGATGGAGGTGTTGGAGATATATGTTGCATATTTGAATTCTACAAAAAATGTCAAATAAAATATATGTAACTTGTTCTAAAAGATATATACACAATGATCTAGCCCCGTTCATGGGTGGCGTGTGTGTTTTTGTTCGTCGTTGTGTCCTCTCTCTCTCTCTCATTTGTTTTTGTGATCGCTCTTTTTCTTTCTCTCTCTCATGCTTATATTCTCTTTTTTTCTCTCTTGGTTCGTGTACAAGCAAGACTTCTTTTTCTCTCTCTCTCTCCTCTCGCTTTTTCTTTTTGTGTAGTAATGGCAGGTTCAGAAATGGCTTTTTCGAGGTGGACGACGGCGCGCAAAGCAGAAAAGAAGAACAACATCTTTTCCTTTTCTTTTCCTTCTTCGTAAATGAGAGAATACACTCTCGCATAGGACTCGTTTGGACCTTTTTTCTTTTTTTTTCTTTTTTTATACATATATATGTATGCATACATGCATATGTCTAATTGTATTTCTCGCCGGGGCGACTTGACCATCGGTCGACGATGAACGATGACGACGCCATTTTTTCTCTTCTTTCTTCTTTTTCGACATATACTATAAAGATTTTTTTTCTTCATTTTTTTTCTTTTTTTGGTATACTCTCTCTCTCTCTCTCTCTCTTGGGCGATGTGAAGCAAAAGTCCACTGTGTGTGTGTACGTATACAAAATAAATATCGCAGAATGTATAACGAGAAAGAGAACGAGTCGAATTATGATGATTTTTTTTTCTTCTCTTCCTCTCGTGTTCAACACAATAGAAAGATGCCTTTTTCTTTTCTTTTGCTTTTCTTTTGTATTATTTCTTTAGTTTGGATAGAATAGAATAGTTGGACATCGACATATACAGACAAAAAAAACAATCGATGCTTTTACTAGAGAAAAGACAGAAAGAGAAAATGTAATGGCGGTGACCGTGTTTGCTCGTTAGTAATAACCTAGCCTGAATAAATCTTGATATGGAATGATAACCACTAACAAAAAAAAAAAAGTGTTTTAGAATAAGATGATTTACAAAAATTAGAGCGATCAATAAACCATGAAAATACAAAAAATATTATTGCCTGTCTATTCATCATCGATAGTAAATTAATGTCTTGCAACAAAAAAAATAAAAAAATTTAGAATCATCAATACTTTTGTTTTAACTACAGATGCTGCCTTAATTATTATTTTATGATCGAACATTATTTTATGTACTAATATATACATATATTTCTTGCTTGACTTCTTCTGTACGGAATTATATCTTGATAGGTAATAAAGAGATAGATGCCTATTTATGAATTTATCTTGAGTAGCATTGTTTATTTATAACAGTAACTGAAACAGCGGGATATTTGCTTCACAAATCAAATGAATAAGTTCAATGCATGTTGTTTTCACAAGAAATAAGTAAAACATAAACATAAATAGAGCTGCCAGTTATTGGTCATATATATGCGAAATTAGTAAAAACTTTGCTATTAAGAAGACTCAAAATAATTTTCTAGCACTTTCGATATCTTGTGGTGACGCTGTTAGTCATGAAATCTCTTTAAAACTTCAATAAAACATAAGTAGAGTCGATTTTAACCGGATTGAATATGAAAACTCTATAGAAGCACTATTCTTTCCGTAACTTCTTTTTTTTTTCATAATGCTGTGTAATAAAAACTGTTAATAATGATGATGACTTTACCACATTATGTAAACGAGATGTTTAAATGTTTGTCGACTGTCCGTTTTCTTTCTTTCTTTTTTTTATCTAAGCATAATTAAATAGACAATTGATAGGTGAATACAAGCAGTATCGAACTTTCTTTGTATTCACGTTCATACATACCTTGAAAAAGGAAGAACGAAGTTCATCGATTTTTTTTTCTTTCTTCTGTTCTATGGTAGATATGTTATTTTGCTTTTGTCGTTTCGTTCTTTTTCTTATTCCTGTTAACGAAAATAAGTAAATGCAACCTGCTGAACATAAGAGAACAGGTACGAAGGTTGTTTTTTCAAATAAGTAAAGAGCAAGAGAAAAAAAAAAATCTTGAATAAAGAGTCTATTTCGACATCTAACCACCTGTGTCTACACTTAATCCATTGGATAAACAGTCCACTGTATGTATGAGTATCCAGCTCTTTTTTTTTCGATCATCATCATCATCTCTTTCTGTACGTGTCTGTTGTTCAACATGAATAAAAAGCTTTTGCTCGCTGTTTTTTTTTGTCGAATGTCCGCTGGCTATCAACATAAAATAAATTCTTTCTTTCATCACATTGAACACGTTCGTTTGTTTCGTATATTCAACAAAATATAGTTGATTTAAACGATCGCTTTTTTTTCTTTTGTTCTTCTTTGATCATTTTTCGTCTTGTCATTATTCTAATAAAAAAAAGAAATTTCTATGATTCGTAATAATAATAATAATAATAATAATAACAATAATAAAATAATTGAATTTGTTCTGTTAAAAGTTTTTTAAAAAAGAATAACGATGACAGAATTGAATGTTTGATAATAAAACTAAATATCAATTTCGACGACAAAAAAAACATCCTCTTGGTAATTACTTTCATAGTATTTACAGTAATGATAAGTTATGAAGATCTTATTCAGCCATTATTTTATAATAACATATAATTTCAATGAATTGATTTGGTTTTTTATTGTGTGAAAAGAAAATCGAATAGTTAACTGTCTAAAATTGATTACAATGAAAGATAGTTGATTTGGACTTACGAAACAATATACTCTGTTGATAACAAGTTATTGAACATAATAAAAGAGTTTGAAATAGAAATAAATGTTCACAAATTAATCTATTTTTATAAAATGAAACGAAAATTTTAAATTATTTATATATGCAAGTCAATAAGTATGAAGACAAGTCATCTTTCGATAATTGAATATTGATTTAAGATATTCTTTTGTTCTATGACAAGAATTTATACATGAACAAGAATATTTTACATCTTTCAATACACCGTAATGTTAGAATATCTATTTTGGTATGGTTCATAAATACAAAAAGGTTTTTTGTTCGGTTCACGAAGGCCAATCCTTTACTCAGAAAAGGCAATTTTCGTCTCAAAAATCAGATTTTGACACTTATATATTTCACATAGTATACTATCGAATACACTATGTTGTATCGATTTTGAAATGGTCCTTTTAGGATTGTACAGAGGTTTTACTGAAGTTATCACAGTCATTTAAAAAAATGCCTGTTTGAAGACTTCAGTTATAGTTACATTTCAAACTTCTCTAGGAATTTTTAATAATGGAGAATCAGACTATGGTGTAGTTAAATCATATGCACTATAATCATGTGAATCAAAGGACTTCTCCTAATATTTGAAGCTACAATTCTAACGTCATATTGATGCATATTAAAAATTGAGGTAAAATTTCCAGAAGTGAATATCTTTTGACGAGCAAATGACGTCCCTATTAAAAAAACTGATTGTAGAAGTCTATGCAAGTGTTCATTCAATTTAGCGTAGTCGACATATCTGTTTGAGCTTCTATTTTACTCATAGGTAGAATTCATCATATAGATAAAAATCCTGAAAGGGTTTGTGCTATTAGACCTTTTTTCTCGAGTTATGGTCATTTTGTCGAATTTCCAGCCTATTGTGCACGATATCATGAGAAAAATCGCAACAAGGAGTTTCGATCTGAAATTTTTCTTAACAATATATTTCAGAGTCCTTATAGTATACTGAAAGTTGCAGATCGAACAGATATTTCCCTTTTAAGATAACATATTTGCAAGAACCATTACTTTCACACAAGAGCTCTAAAAATAGTTCAGTTTTTAAATATTAAATGTCTTAAGAAGAAATCATTCGTTTGAACTGAAACTTTCAGAATATCATAGGAATCAGTAAAATGACCATAACTTGAGAAGAAAGATCTAATGATACGAACTCTTTCAGGATTTTTATCTACACTATGAGTCCTATCAATGAGCAACATATAAGCTCAGACAGAGATTATCAGTCGAATAGATTTCCTTGTTAGTAGTAAAAGTTCTCAGTTATTGGTTCTTTCGATAAAACTTAGCAAAAAATAGACAAAAAATTTTCAAAGGATCCAGGCTTGTCAAATTGCAATAGCAAATTTTTGCTGCATATTGAGATCAATCTGAATTCTATCTTTTGCGTTCAAATTTTTACTTACAGGTATATAGGTCTAGATACATGATTGCTTGTTCTGGGATAAAAATAAACTTTTGAGCAGATAGTAGCCCTTACTATGAACTTCATAACGATAATTTAATAGAATTTCTTTTGTCCAGCTGAATTCAGGAAAAAGAAAAGTTTTCAAATTTTGATTCTTATCTAAACTATATCATTCGAGTTTTATCTTAGAATTTTTTAAAGAATATGTCTCTTGTTAACATTAGATGATGATTCATTATATGTGAGTTTCTCTCTTTCTTCGTGTAAATATTATCTAAAAACGTGATAAGAAATCATTTGTGCTTACTATTATTTTGTATATATTCATTTGACTATTTTTATGTCTTTTCGATCTTTTAAATCAAAATCAAAACCGACAGAAGATGTAAGAAATTATTTCAATCAATAGATCTTTCAATCTTTTTCGTTTTTTTTTCTTAATAGAATTCATCTGAAATAACTTTAACAGCATTATCCAAAACACAAAAAAATGATCATTATACATCTGATATTGAAAAATTACAAAATAAAATTGAATATGATGAAAAAACTTTAAATCTATTTATAAATCATGTGTTTATTACTCTTGATGCAAATATTAATGATTTAAAATTATTAATTGATAAGAAACGACCTGAACAAAAAATTTATAAAGTATCAATATGTGATCTTTGGCTTCGATTAAAAACTATTGAACAAATGGAACCATATCCACTTGTTACTTTTCTACGTACAAATCATTTGCATCGTCAAGAAATAAAATTATCAGACATACATAATGATATCATGAAAATTGAACCACAATATTTAACTAATCATCGTCGATCTCGTTTTATACATTTTCATATATGTACAGGATCAGATGAATTTAATTTTAATATTGGTTCTTATGTTGGGTTAGTTATATTTTCTTATGATAATCAATCCAAATTTATATTAAATGGACATTATTGTCAACGTGGTGATATTCTTATAAAACAAATGAAGTTTTTTAATTATCAACAAACAACACATCGAGGAATATATGATGCTTTATTTAAATGGTATTTTGGTCGTGTAATTGATGAAAATTTTATTGGTATTGGATTTTTATGTTTAAATGAAAAATGGCGTTTTGATTTAATAACATATAATGATAAAGAAATATTTCTATATGAGTATCGACTATTAGATATGTTTATGTTAACACATTGGTTAACACAATTTATCATAGCACATAATGTTCATGACATGGAAATGAATGCTAAAGATATATTATTACAACAATATAATATTGTAAAAAAGAAATTAATTAATCAAGAAAATAAAGAATTATTGAATAATTGGAATGAATTTATTGGTAGTAATGCGAAAGATTTAAAATTAGCTATTAAAAAATTTATTCAAACCACAGAAAATGATATTGAAATTATTTTTAAAGAACTCGATATAAAAACAAATATACATTCAGATTTATTAATACAAAATACGTCATAATCTTTTTTCTTTTTATTGTAGTTTCTCTGAAATAATTTCCAAGTTTGTGAAAGATAACAGTTGAAACCGGTAAAATGTAGTAAGAAAGTGATCGAACCTTCAATTTAATAATTTTGATTTCGATTTTGTTTATTTATATCTCATGGTTGAACATCTGAACCATAGCAATATTAATAAACTAATTATTTTTCGACCAATCAATTTTTTTTAATGATGTATTTAAATATACTCGCTAATTAAATCCTCTATTTTTATATAATCTAAAAGCTTTCGATAACTCTTTATATTGCTTTAAAACTATTATAATGTTATGAAAACTCATCCTAATTTGTTAAATAATGTTTTACAAGGGAATCATTCCAAGTGACATCCACCATTCGAGCTCATATTGGACCTACAGACAGGTCTCAGTGAGAATAGCAAAAGCCTAAAAAAGGAATCATCACCACTGGTGTTTGGTGCCGAGTTATGACCGATTTGCTGAATTTTTGACGCATTGTTAGATATCATCAGAAGATCGAATAACAGAACTTTGATCCAAAATTCAGTCTATAGATAGGTCTAATGACTCTTGGAATATTCTGAAAGTTTCAGCCGAAAAGAATGTTCCTTCGTCGAGTTATTGGATTTTTAACTGAACTCGATTTTTGTCACATGTCTATGGCAAAAGGCTATTTTTGGAAATTCAATATCTTCCTATCGTTTTCAATTGTTTCTATACTTGACATAATAAAGATTCAGCTAGAAAAAAAGCTGATTATCAATAAATAGTATGAAATAAAGAATAACTAATATGCATCCTTGCATTTTTTATGCTCATCCTCAATTTTCACAAATTTTCATATTAACTCAAGTTTATTCTTGTTTTTTGGTTGAACATTTGGTAAAGAAAAGGTTACGTAAATTAGATAATATATTGACCATACATGTTGGCCAAAATAAAAAAAACGATCAATAAAAACTTCCTGAATAGAGGTTACGCAATATTTCTATTCGAGTTATCTTCTATGTCAAATACTACGACAACTTCATCTACAATTTACATTCAAATGCACTTTCATAACTATACTTAGCTCATCAAATGTCCATATATTGCCCATTTCAGATCATTGTGTTCCAAACAAATCTTTTACATAATTCAATGGTGCATAAAGTTGTAAACCTTCTTATCAGACATTGTTTGATTTTAATCATTCATTATCAAATGCTTGTTTTTTTCTCATCCAACATTTTGATTCTCTTTGTTTTTTAAGGTTCTTTTATTTCCATTTATTTCATGATCTTCTTACACTATCTCTTCATCTTATATATTGCTTTAATATTGAGAAATCTTTATCAATTTCATAGTTACAGATATACGAAGTTTTGCAAATGCGAAATATGCTATTTTTATTTGAAAAGAAACTAAATATTTATACATGAGGATAGATAAAGACAACGACTAGGGAAGAAGTTGAGAAGTTTCTTCCCATTTGTTTTAGATAATGAACAATGAGAAGAATTAAAACAATGATTCTTCTTATTCATAAGAAATGTGTGTTAAAAGAATAGGTCAGAAGAACGAAAACATATGTAGAACAGATGAAGAGACAGAAAAAGAAAAAGAAAAATGATTCACCTTATAACCATTTCAACTTTTATACTGATCATTTTGACATAATCAAGTATTAATAAATTGTACTTACTGATCTTTTAAATTTATTTACAAACATAACCAATTAATAACTGACCGTTTAAATAATTTATCACTGATCAATCAACAAAATTTACCGATTTTATATTTATTTCATTTACTGATCATTTCATTTAATTTCGTTCTTTTTTTTCCACTGACCATAAATCATATTCCCTTTTCTAAAGATCTGGAAAAATATGTAGAAAATATATTGTTTGTATGAAATATCTATAGAAATCTTTTCTTTTCTTTTTCTATTTAGATCTTGTCAAATGTCAACCAATGCAGTAGACTTGTTTTTATGTGCAACTGAGTTATTTCTCAATTATTATAAGGAAAAAAGTTGTCTTTCAGATCTGAATCAGAGTAAAAGTCTACATCATCATTGGTTTCGTGGTCCTTATTAACAAAAATTTCAATTGATGAAAGCGATGTTGTTACTGCAGTTGAACTAGAAGCAATATTACGAATAGCTTATAATATGCATACACTAAATATAGATGATGACAATGATATTTTTTTATTTGCAGAATATTATATAATCGTGACAATCTCGAAATTCGTGCCAATCAACAAGTAAGAATTTATGTTAAAAAAATCTCATTGAAATTAGTTTGTCTGAAAGATCTAGTTTTATTGATATTTATCTTTTGTTTTCAGAAAATCTTTTTCTAAAACCGATTGAAATGAAATGACATTTTTTTTGTATGTGTTATATCTAATCTCCTACAATGGACACTTAGACGACAAAATCGATATCTGAGATCTGAACCGATATTGTAGTTGGCATTCAAATTGCTGTATATCTGTATCTAACTGCACATTGGTTTCTAATTGCAAGTGAATAATCGTCTTGCAGTAGCTATTACAAAGTAGGTGAAATAGATGAATATCACTAATAAATCCATATAAATAAAATCTATGCTTCAAATTGAAGTTCTAGTTATAAAGGATGGTTCATAAGGAACGAGTTCATTTTTATTTGTGTTTGTATCTTTACTATATTCAACGATGAAGAGTATTGGATATATATATTTGAAGAGTAACATCTAAACTATTATTGAACAGAAATTGCACTCAATTTGTAACAACTGTATGAAAGTGTCACATTGGTAAAAATGTTGAATAAGTTCTATCAAAGTCATTTTCTTATGTCTTTTCTGTAAAGAACAACTTCCTCAGGTTTTTGTGAATACCTCTGTTAGTTTTTTATGTGTTGACTTGAATTTGTTTTTTTTCAAACGATAGCCTTTCCAATTCTCTACAAAATCTAAGAAAAACAGCTCTTCAGAATAATGATCGAAAAACTATATCTGATCAACTGCACTACACTGCAAAAATGTTATTCTTTCGAAAAGGTGTTTTTCTTGGATTTTGTGAAGAATTACAAAGGCTATTGTTTAGAAAAAAAAACAAATTCAAGTCAATGTATGGAAAACTGACAGAGGTATTCACAAAAATCTGAGGAAATAGTTCTTTACAGAGAAGATATTAAAAAATGACTTTGATAGGGTTTTTTCAATATTTTTACCAATGTGACACTTTCATACAGATGTTACAAATTGAGTGCAATTTCTGTTGAATAATAGTTTAGATGTTACTCTTCAAATATATATATTCAATACTCGTCATCATCGAATATGGTAAAGATAGAAACACAAATAAAAATGAACTCGTTACTTATGAACCATCCTTTAATCCAATTCCAACGTATAATCCAATAACATCATCTTATTTAAATAGATTTAAAAAATCTAATTAAGTTTTTGGTAAAATAAACTCTTTTCTGATATATTATTTTTTTTTTAAAGAATATTATTCTAATGTATGTTCGATGTTGTCAAACAACTTAAAATGATTAGTGCACGTTGATCATATTTATCAATTTCTTTGCATTCATTTTCTGCTTCATTATTAAAATTCGACTGTTTTTTTTCTAGCTAATATACAGTATAAAATGAAATAGAATTTTTTTGTTCTATCTGTATAACATATTTTTTCTTTATGACATCTTGTTTTTGTTTTGTTGTTTTGGTTCTTTTCTAATACATTATGTCTCTAACCAATTATTATTATGATGATTATATTTTGGGTGTGTCCATTGTATTCATATGTTTTTGTTTTTCTATCATTAAAATATGAATACATTTATATGATGAATTTAATATGTCAACCAACTAGTTCAAATATTTGTTTTATTATAATGTACATCTCTTATAAATGCAATATTTTAATTAAAATGATTTGTTAAACTGTTAGGAGATTTATAAATCAACTTGGAAAATCTTTCTTTTAATAGATCAAGGAGAACATATAAATCAGAGAAGAAAAGGAGAGATTGCGTGACACAATTTCATTCTACAGGAATTTGACTAACCAAGGAAAATAGTTTATATAAATATATAAGAAAGCGACGGACTACTAGATTAAATGATTTCAAAGAAAACAAAGAGAGAAGATATATCTAGTCGTCATAACAAAGATGAAATACATGAGAAGGTTAAATCAGGTCAAACAAAAATAAAGAGAAAAGGAAAGAGATAAAGAAAAGAAAAGAAAATGTATGCACGTGTTAGAGATGCCTGTAACATAAATTAATATAAAATTAAATTTAAAAAAAATTGGAAATGTATACATTAGCCCTTGCAAATTAGGAACATAACAATGACATATTTTTAAATAGACTAATTCACAATAATTTTTTAAATATTAATTATTTGATCCAATATATTTAAAAAGAATGATTATTTATTTTGAATTAGACAATTGTTCATTATATTTTGTCCAGCAAATCGTCAATCATATACTAGAACACTTATATCATTCAAGAAATTTAATGAAAGTTTTTCTTCAAGGAACGACGACATTTGGTATTTAAAAAACGAAGTTAAGACGACAACTGTCAATTCATCGGTGCTCTATTTTTAAAAGAAATAAATGTGCCACTATTCTCAATATAAAATAAAATCACAAGACATACATTTTCTAGTCGCCACGTTAAATCCAAATTATCCTACTTTGCAATAGATAACGAAGGAAAAAATAAACTCAAACACAAAAATATTTTAAAAACAAAAAAAACAATTAGAAATTGTTGGAAAATCAACTGCTTCTTCACGACAAATCGATGATGATAGCAATGATGACAATGAAAACTGTCATTATCTTTCAAGATATATATAATTCATGAACATCACAGAAACGAGATGAATTAACTCGATATCTTAGATTCGAGCATCGTAAAATAAACACAAATCATATGCTTGACTTTTGAAAGATGATAATCGATTTTTTTTATCATCTTTGACAAAAGTTGCATCCCAAA